AAAATGTGTCAAAGTATCATCTATCTTAGGATAAATCTCATTCTCTAGTTCAAAATCTTCCGATTCCAGTTCAAAGTCTTCTTCCCCCATCATCTAAATTGACATGACGCGAGTTAACATCTTCTAAATTAATGTCTACCATATAAATCAGATCATCCACCTGACACTTAACACCATCAATAGTGTCAAGTTTAACTTCCTAGTACCCCACATGAGCTTTGAAGGGATTAGTATCCACCTTCATTGGTTTCTCTTCGAATTTTAATCGACCTTGTTCGATAGCATCCTGTATCATGTTCCTAAAATGAATACAATTATTAGTTCAATGCCCGTATATATTATGAATCATACAATATTTATGTCCCGTTCTCTGTTCTAAAGAAGGCAATTTATGATCACCACTCAACTTTATTTGCTTATCTTTTAATAAAATATCAAAAATCTTATTCGCCTTAGTCACATCAAAATTATAACTTCAATTCGTCATTTTGTCAGAAACTTCACTTTTTTGTAACAACTTACCAACATAAGGTGGACCAATTTTAATTTCACATCATCATTTTCACTCATTTCTTCATCTTCATTTTCTTCTAGAATATCTGGTAATTCTTTATATTTATCTATTCTACATATTGAATTTTGTCTTTCTTCACTACCTTACCAAATTTATGATATCTCTCTTTCTCATATCTAATTTGTTCAATCCTCCGAACCTTATCCGCTAACTGAACCATATCCCTTAAAGGCGCATTTACTAACTTCTTCCTTATCAAAAACTCCAACCGTGCAGCTGTCATTCTCACTACCTCACTCTTAGGGATTTGTGTCAAACACTTTGACCTCATTTATCTAAATATATTCAAGTAATCATCTATATTTTCACTATGGTATCTTTTCACATTCATCAAATCAATGAAACTAACCTGAGTCTCCCCTCTAAAGAATTGCTCATGAAAACTTCTTTCTAAATGGGTCAAATTAAATATTGAATTCAAAGGCAATATTGTAAACCAAGTAAAAACATTCTTTGTTAAAGAACTTGGAAAATATTTCATTGTCAAACTCTCACTCGTTATAAATTCTCATACTCGATTTGATACCTAGTTATATGTTCAACAGTGGATTCCCCAATATCACCTGCAAATTTAGTAAACTTTGGAATCTTTTATCCTCTAGGAAACTTAGCCTCTAGCACAAAATCAGGAAAGGTGAAATAAAATATTGTTGATTATATAATCATATTCCCTCATCTAGTTGATTACAATGCCCAATTACTTGATTATAAGTATTTTGTTGATAATTTCCATTATTCTGATTATTCCTTCTTATATTATCCCAAATATGTAGAATTTGGTCTACATCTTAACCTTTGTTAACCATCCTAACATCTCTATGCAAATTATAATTTCATTGCATATTTATATTATCATTGTTTGCTCTCCAGGGGGTTCAACTTGATTATTTCTTACGGGCATATTATCATTTGATAGGTTATTCCTTCTTGGGATAACAAGCGCATCTCTTATCCTTGTCATTTTCTCTATTAACCTCTAAAAACTATCGATAGTCGTTTGTCCCAAAGGATTTTAAATGGTAGTCATTTGTTGGGACAACATATTAACGATTTCATGATTACTATCGTCAATTTGTTGTCTTATGACCCCTAACATACAACTTGATATCCCTATGTTTATGTTATCAAAGTCACCTTGATTTCCATTATTCCCCCTGTCAATTCCCAGTCTTAATTGGTTTTGACTTTGATCATTCATTTTGCTAGAATTTGGGGTTAGCTACCATGATGGCATTCCCCAGGGATACCTTTCCGTTATTGGAATTCCCTTATTATTTCTTTAGATCGACGTGTTCCCACTAGTCATATGTGGTCCTACACAAGTGCTACCTATTGTATTATTTATTGGCTGAATCATTTCTTAATTGCTTTGACTACCAGTGTTTGGATCAATAGTAACACCCTGAACAATTTCACTCCCATGCTCCACATTTTGACTCTCATTGTTATTGTTCATTATTGTGTTGGGTATTACCGCATAAGAATTCGGTATAAAGGTTTGTGTGTTTTGGCTTGTCATAATTATTCTACCACTTCTTAATATCATACATTATTCGAGTCCCACTAGGCGTGTCAATTTGTTTTTTGTGTAAATGATTTGTTGTTTGGTTCAATTAAATATAATTTCACAAATTGCGCAATGAATCAATTAAACACTATGCAGGTTCACTACAAGAAATACTGGAATTACCGACGGATAAAATCCGTCAATAACAACAAAAATCCGTCGGTAAATAGATATTACCGACGGATTAGCGACGGAGAAAATTCCGTCGGAAATTGTGTTGTCGGTAAATATTACCGACGGATTTAAATAACCCGTCGGTAATTACCGACGGATATATCCGTCGGAAAGTGCTGTAGGTAATTACCGACGGATATATCCGTCGGAAGCTGCTGTAGGTAATTACCGATGGATTATCTGTCAGAAACTGCTGTAGGTCATTACCGACGGATATTTCCGTCGGAAAATGTTGTAGGTCATTACCGACGGATATATCCGTCGAAAAGTGTGCTAAGTAATTATTGACGGATATATCCGTCGGTAATATCCAAATTTCTTCCTGAATCATTTCAATTTTTTAATAAACCATTTTTCCTGCATATCACACATTTTATATCAGGAACGCTACACCAAATCCAGTTCCACTGTTTCAGATCAATAACAACATAAATATATGACAAATAACCTCAATTGAAATTAAACATAGTAAAAATAATCTCAATTCAAACAAATGACATATAATTCAAACTATTTATAATTAAACTTAATGTGTAAGAGTAAATATGGTTAGAAAGTAGAATAATGTCAAATACAATATTATCTGATAAAATATCTAATAATGGGAATAATCAAGAGACTGTTGTCCTTGTTGTTCTGGGTTGTCTTGTTGTTCTGGGTTGTCCTGTTGTTCTAGGTTGTCTTCTTCTTGTTGAGGTTGTTGTTGCTGACTATCCTGTTGGCTATGTTGGCGTTGCTGAATGAGGGATTGTGCACCGGGAGGTAGGAATTGAGCGACTGCACCCACAAGTGATTGAAACTCCCGAAATTGGTGCTCTAGTCGCTCATTATGCTCCCTTGTTCGACGAATCTCTTCCCTCAATTCATTCATCTCTTCAACATTAACAGAGGAGATGGCTGCTTGAGTCTGATGCTTGAGAATATCAGACCCACCCTGATAACAATGACCAAGTTGTCCAGCTCCATATAATCTTCCCTTATTTTTCCCTCCAACAGTGTCTACCCAACAGCGAGACCTAATAAGATCATCCTCTGCAGAGTCTGTAGGAGTAGACTCTGCTTTGCCAACACAGGAACCAGCAGATGACCTAGCTTGTGAAAGTCTAGTATGAAATTCCTCCTATTAGTACAAACAAAGAAATGTTGTAATATGATCAACTTTACTTATCATAAAATAAATCAAATGTGAAGAAACTTACATGTGTCTTCCTAGACCTTTCATCAACAAAATGACCTGTATTTTTTTTTATATGGGTTTGCTGGAAGATCTCATCAACAAACACTGATCTCCCAAGCTCTTTTGCCTGCATTACATTGACAAAATAAGAATTATATACAACTTATTTAGCCTTATATAATCCTAAATATATGTTTAAAAGACTTACCATACGCATGGCATGTTCATGTGTGGTGATGGAGCCACCTGTGTGTAGGCTTCCCCCCTTTTCAGATGCTCTGTTCTTTTGGGCCTACACACATTTGGAACGATATATGGGTGAGCTCCAATGTTCTAGTAACCTGCTCCAAACATGTTCTCCAATCCAATCTAGCCTTTGGCCAGCAACTCTTGCATCCCGAAACATCTCACTAAGTCTGTGAGATGCTTTGGTATGAAAATTCTTCTTTATTTGATTTTCATGTTCCGGTCTCCATTGAACCTTCATCTCGTAAGTAGACATTATTGTACAAATTATATAAAAAAGTACATAAATAAAAAGAAGAAACATGGTGTTAATTATATTAAATATATGAATAAAAAACCTAAGTGTGAAAGAAACATGGTAATTGGTATAATTAAATCTAAATAACTGAGTTATCTAATGTACGTGCTCAAAATATACAAATACAAACATTAACTACGTTTTTTAATTTAACCATTTAAGTAAATGAAGCAAACACACTCATGTTATTTGATGTCATTTCCCTTAACGGTAGTAATTATTATAAATTTATGCAATCAAGGTTTCAACCTAACTATATAGTGCAAAGGAAATTAAACAAAAAATAAAGAAGAGGTAGGGTTATTTTAACTTTCATCTTATTCTTGTAGTGGACAAAAGGCTTTTGCTTCATGTTAAGTTTCAACCCGTGGGATCACATGTCTATAATTGTACCACTACTTTTTTGTTCATATACTTCAAATTTTTCAAGTGGAAACACCATTAATCAACAACCAAACTATAGTACAAACTTTTTCAGGCAGAGATAAAAATTTAGGAAAACTTTCATTTCCATACTTTTCTTTCCCATTCCCATAATCTCATTTACATGGTCCTCTGCAACTCTACACAATCATGATGGTCATGGCCCATACTTTTTTCGTCATGCTCATAAAATACTGCATTCACATTGAATCTCATTACATTATAGTGCCTAACACCATATCCATAATCTACCCTTAGCATAAGACGCAAAATTTAAAAACCAAATATTTTAAATGGGGGAATTGCTGAGGGAGAAATGGCTTTTGTTCCTCCACGATCGTACAAGTATTTCTCATTATTTACCCTTATGTTTAGACTGAAGTAGTTTTTGCTTCAATTCAAACTTTTTAGGTTAGTAGAAGCAATCAGAATAATTAACTGTAAAAGGTCCTTGTCTAATCATATTTATTTGCTCTCCCATCTTGACTCGCAAGCTGACATCAATTATGTAGTAATGTAATAAAAGTCAATAGTATTTTACCATGCCACTTTTACCATTACAATGCTTCAACCCCAAAATATACGAAAGAGAAAAGGCCACTTTTACCACTATGAATGCATGAAGAATTGTATGTCTGCCACACAAGTTCAATATTAGTAGTGCACACTTGAAACGAATGACTCGCTTTCACTACAAATAAAATGGGTTGTGTTGAAGAAAGAAAAAAATGTGTTGTGAGTGTCCATGCATAAAGTATTAGAATGCTCCCATATACATCCCAAGAAAATGCATTTCATGACTCATGCTGAATCATAAGAAGGATATTAATCAAATGATCTCAGCTGAAACAAGGAGAGATTTATTTCATGTGCAATCTACCTTGCGCAGTAATAAACTGGAACCCCAAGTACAAATCTTCAATTTCATCTATAACGAAGAAACTGTTTGGTTCCAAACTATTTTTCTATCAAGTAAAGCATGCATAACCAAGTAAATCAAACTATTTTATTTGAAACTCTGTCCCATTGCTATAATAGTTTTTTATACTACATAAATCTGTTTGATATTGTTATGCTCATTCCATCACCTTAATTCCATACTGAGAGCAGAAAAAAAAAAAAAAACTCAAGTAGATTACAATCTATGCTTCTAAAACAGAATCAGACCAATGAGAAACAAAATACATACAAAAAGAACCCTAGCCTCAATAAATCACTGGTTTCAGGTCCTTGAATTAACCATGAAAGAATAGACTTTACCCCCTTAATGGATAGTAAAAGATCAAGGAGGGGACAGCTAAATATTATTCCAAGGCAATTCACAGTCAAATTTAAAGAAATGTAAACACTTCAACATCAACAATTCATGAAAAGAAAAAATAATAAGAACTCCCATGTAATGTAAACGTAAACTTTAGTTCATGCTATAAGTAATCCTTCACCACTAGCCGATGCGATCTTGACATGATAGCATCTAAACTGTATTAAATTCCCCACTAGCCGATGCTATAAGTAATCCTTCACCACTACCCTACATAATTATCTCAAATATATATAAAGGAAATCAAAACTCTTAATTCATTAAGATTCGTTCATTGTTTGGTTTATAGAGTCTAGATACAATGATGTGGAAGACATGTAGTTCACAATGCTCATAGACTATCCCTAATTAGTCTATAGATTTAACAAAGATTAGACTAAACCACACATATAGATACTCACGAGAGATGATGATCCAAGTGCCACACTCAAACATACAAAAAAGAGGGATGAAAAAGTCTTGACAGATACATTTCATTTAGGCTAATAACCTATTTCAAGAAAGCTTCCCACATCTCATATGCCAAAGATTCCTCCATACATTCTCAGTAAAATCTTAATCACTTTTGTTTTGAATTTTTTTGTTAAAACACACTCTTATTTTCTAGAAAAGTAGTTACCTTAAAACGTTGCCAGAAAGACTCCTTATCACTATTAGGAACCACTCCCCATGTCGCCCAAGGTTGAAGGAATTGCTGCTTAATACTCTTTGTAACAGCTTGTGATGCAACCCTAGACGGAAGAAACCTAATTTCAAAGAAAAAGTTATACAATGTATATATAGTCAAAAGAACTAAAACTTAGTTATAATATATATTGATAATTAAATATAAATATTACCCTCGACCATAAGGTTCAATCATGGGTCGATCATGGAGAGCGAGGTCATCTTCCGCAATCTCGAATCGACATCCCCACTAGACCGTGATGTTCTAACCGCAATCTGTGGGGATGGAATCTGTGTAGGTGGATGTTGTTGCGAGGTGGAAGGACCTGCCATCGTAGCAGGGGATGCCGATGGAGATGAGTTGGGTCCCACAACTAGGGCTGGGGATAAGGTGGGTGTCGGAATCGGGCCGAGGATGGTATAGATGGTACTACATAAGTGGATGGTGTTGTCGGTGGTGTGGGTATAGTAGACACAACGAAGGGGATGGTGCTCTCGGTGGTGTGGGTATAGTAGGCATAACGTAAGGGGATGGTGTAGACCCTACCATAGAGGATGGTGATGGATGAGGTGTAGCAAGTGGAGACAGTATGTCTGTGGGAAGTACCTTCAATACATAACGTGGCCTCTTTTTTTTCGCTATTGCTTTCCCTTTATTCCCACCATTGGGTGAAGGTTTAGGTGAGTTAGACCCTCCTGTAGTCATATCTATAGGAAAATAAAATTAGACATAAATAATGATGTAAAAACATATATCAAATTAAGTAAAAACACTTAATAACATTACATATAACAAATATGGATACAATATGTCCTAGTTATAAAATAAACATTATATGACATAATTATCCTAATTATGTGGAAAACAAAAGTCTTCTTCTTATTCTTCATCTTCATCATCGTCATCGTCATCGTCATTCTCATTCTCATCCTCATCCTCATCCTCATCCTCATCCTCATCCTCGGTTTCTTCCTCTTGACTTTCCTGATCCTCTTCATCTTGCTCTTCTTCCTCCCCTTGCTCTTCCTCTTCCAATTCTTCAAGATCAATGTCAAAGTCTTATAAACCAAATATACCTTCAACTTCAATGACTTCATTACCATGTAACATTTCATCTAGTTGGTAAGGGACATCCTCTTCCACACCATCACATTCAATGCGACCTCTTGGTTTTGTTTTGATTGCAACACACCAACCACGTTTATCTATTCGAAATGATGGATATGGGACATAATACACTTGTCTTACATTATGTGCAAGGATAAATGGATCAAATGGTTCATATCTTAAACTCATTCGAATATCTACAATATTATATTTAGGATCTACTTTTGTACCTCTTCTAGATGGATCAAACCATTCACAGTAAAAAAGCACAATTTTTTTGGGATAACTTGAAGAATTGTATTCCAACTCATATATTTTAATAATTATCCCAAAAAAATCATCTTCACCACTTTCTATCAAACCCTTAACATAAACTCCACTATTTATCATCTTTTTGCCCTGGTTCCATGCATCTGTATGAAATTTGTATCCATTCACAAAGTATGTGTGCCATTCTTTAACACATCTCATGGGATGATTGGACAAATCTCTTAAGTCTTGATTTCTCATCGTACATGGCTCACTGTGGATCTACAAATTTAAGAGACATCCAATATTACATTACTATATCTAAAATATATTTAAAATAGAATTATAAGATTCATACTTGCTCCTTGAACCATGTAGGAAAATTTGCATGTATCCGAGCAGAAGCCTGTGATTCAGTTATTTGTTCTGACTGCAAGAATGAACTAGCCAATAGTAGACCATTTCAACAATCAATTTGAAAGTCGTAGAAAATTTGACAAAGAAATTGAAAAATAATGTTATTTAAACCTACTCAAGATATGGTTTAACTTCAACACAATTGATTAATATATGAACATGAGCGGATTTAAATTCAGCATCAGTCAACCAGTGACTTAACTCCCGTCCTGAAGGATGACCAACTTGTCGGAAGATTGATGTCGCCGCCGTCCCTTTCCGACGTCCGGAGGACGTCTCGAAACGTTTATGCGAGCGGTCGCGAAAAGATGGTTTAGACTCGCGTTTTTTGTTTTAAAAGGTTTTCGAAAAAGGGGTTCTTATGGAGTCGCCACCAATGTTTTGACCTTAAACATTGGAAAAGGGAAAAATGTTGATTTTAAGAAAAACCGCACTTGGCCATTATAACCAGAGTTGGGTAAGGGAGTTAGTTACGTGTGGGGAAGGTGTTAGCACCCCACAACGCCCCTTTCGGGTTCCCTATGACAGATTAATTCATTTAAATAAAGACTACGAGAAATTACGCGATTACCCTATTTTATTACATAATATTAAATGACTATCTACATGATTTTTATTCTATGTTGCATGCATAAAATGATGAATAAAGCTAAATAAAGCAATAAAAGAGATATTAAAATAGCTATCTACATGATCTTATTCTACATGACATAATAAAGCTAAATAAAACAATAAAACAATAAATAAAACAATAAAAGAGAAGGGAATTGAAAAGAACCTCCGTAGCAAGCTTTATATTGAGAATCTCGAACTGTGAGGATGCGTTTTGGCAACCCCTCTCTCTACACAGTCTCTCCTCACCAATACAAGATCGACTCTACTAAAAATTTAAAGAAGAATCAAATGCCGGAATATAATTCCTTAACCGATTGTTACCTATTTAAGGCAATCGGAAAGATCATTCGAGAGAGGGAGAGAAGTAGACAAGTGCTCTAAAGTGTTTCAGAGCTCTCTGGAGTGTCTGTGGTGTGAAAAAGTGGCAAATGAGCCTCCTATTTATAGTTTTTCGCAGCTGGCGCACTTTGGGACGGCCGTCTGGGTTGGGACGGCCGTCTGGACTGGGATGGCCGTCCCAAATGGCAAATTTACACAGAGCGGGACCCCCAGGAAGGCCGGGACGGCCGTCCCACTTAAAATGGGTTTGGGACGGCCGTCCCACATACGGGACGCGCGTCCCAACTGTAAAATGACAGTTGGGACGGCCGTCCCACTTTTGGGACCGTGGTCTCGGCCTGTTTTGTCCAGTTTTCGTGTTCTGGGACCCCGGGAAGCTTTCCTTTCCTTTTTCGGACATAGATTGATGCCGATGTGTGTCCGTTGAAGCTTTGTCTTCATATAGGGAGTCTTCTTGGCCTCCAATAAGATGTCGGGCGAGCTTTGTCTTTGTGTAGGAAGTCTCTTTTGGCTTTTATTGTGCGAGTGAGTGAACTCCGTCTTTTGTTGTGGGAGGTCCTTCTCGTTTTGGGAAGCCGGATGAACTCCATTTTTGGGTGAAGTTCCTCTAGCTTTTATTTTGAGAGGCCGGGCAAAATTAGGGGTCTACAGCTGCCCCCCCTTCGCCTGCCTAACTAATTCGTCGGTTTTTAATATGCCGACAAAATTAGTTGGTAGGGGAAGGAGTTAACCCTTTTGCCCGGTTATCCTTCGGATGCTGCTCCTTGTTGATCCTCCGGATGATGAATATTTTGATAGGTACTAACCCCTATCTGGTGTTTTGACGAGTACGAACCCTCTGTCTGGTAGACCCCCTTCTGTAAGGCCTGATGAGTACTCACCCCATCTGGTATGAGTCTGCATTTTGCTGGACTCTAATGGTTTTTACACCCCCACTGGGTGCGAACCTGCATCTTGACAATGCTCTATTGTGCGAGTCTGCATTTTGACGGACTCTAATGGTTTTTACACCCCCACTGGGTGCGAACCTGCATCTTGACAAGGCTCTATTGTGCGAGTCTGCATCTTGACGGACTCTAATGGTTTTTACACCCCCACTGGGTGCGAACCTGCATCTTGACAAGGCTCTATTGTGCGAGTCATCATCTTGACGGACTCTAATGGTTTTTACACCCCCACTGGGTGCGAACCTGCATCTTGACAAGGCTCTATTGTGCGAGTCTGCATATTGACAGACTCTAATGGTTTTTACACCCCCACTGGGTGCGAACCTGCATCCTGACAAGGCTCTAGTGTATTTTTTCACCCCACCGGATGTGAACCTGAATCTTGGTAAGGTTCTAGTGTATTTTTTCACCCCACCGGATGTGAACCTGCATCTTGCTAAGGTTCTAGTGTATTTTTTCACCCCACCGGATGTGAACCTGAATCTTGGTAAGGTTCTAGTGTATTTTTTCACTCCACCGGATGTGAACCTGAATCTTGCTAAAGTTCTATTGTCGGCGGCTCACTGTTTTTATCATGCGCCTATGGGGAGTAATTTGATTT